GTGAGCTCCTGTTTCCTCCTCAGTCCCTGTAACCCCAACAGTTCGAAAACGCACGTGAGTAGATAAATGGGGACTCTCACTCCGGTGGGAGGAAAAACGCTGGCGGCGCCTTGCAAAAAGGAGTCGGGAGCAGTTGCCGGTAAGCATGAAAAACCGCACGCGTCCGAAAAGGGCGCGAAGCAACGGAAACCCCGCCTCCTGCACTCGCCAGCTGGGCTCTGCCCTAGGAAGGAGGCTCTGGCAAACAGCTTCTTACACAATTGCCTTGAAAACTGCAAGGACTCGTCCAAGCAGTCACTGCAGAGTCGGTAATGACTGAGCGCAGATAAAAAAAAACAACTAAGAGTTAAAAATAACTAGTAAATACTGTTTGTTTGGGTTTTTTACATCTTAGCAAAGTAAGGGCAATGTTAGCCTAGGGTCCCATCTGCAAATCAGAGGGTTTATCTTTCTTAACTATTTCTGATTTCTTTTTTCTTTTTTTTTGGACATCCTAATGAAATTTTAGACCCGCAAAGGGTATAATCCTGAAGACTGTAGTATGTTCTGCTCTCATATTTCAGTGATACCTACCTTCGTCAGGCTCAAGCAAGAGTTTTGCTAAAATTTCAGCTTCAGGCATTCTCTTTAGCTCAGTCAAATGATCTCCTAACTGAACCATGCTTTTACTGATCAAGGGGTGACTTTTCTCCTCTATAAATTCAAAATATTATTTTTTAACATGTTACAACTTGAGACAGACAGCAAAAGACATTAAGATCACTAAAGCAATGCTGCTTATGCATTCAGAAATATTTAAGCATCATTATATTTGAGATACATTTTAATTCTGTGTATGTATATGATTGTTTATATATATACACACACATGTTCACACACACATATCATAATGCAATTATGTTTTATAAGAGCAGAATCAGCAGTACTCCGTAATGTCTGTGGGAGGAAATAATGTTCACTGGCAGTCATATTACAATTGTAGAATCTCAGTTTAAGAGTAGCCTATCAAAATGAGAAATACATGGCATAAAGAAATAAACAGCATAAACATTAAATTTCCGATGTTTATGGAACTTACTTTTGGATTGGGGGTAGAGAAGTTTTTATTCTGTTACAGTCAAAGAAAGGAAACTTAATATAATATATAATCAGGAAAATAATGGGGAAGATCATATAGATTCTTAGCCTTTCCCAATGCACATCTTCAAAATTCAACTTTCGGACCTCATGAAACTTCCAAAGCTTTTTGGAGGGATAAGAGAGACTACAGTAATGCCCTAATTCTACCAATACATGTCCTTGCTGTCCAATAAAGTAATATCTGCACAGCTTCTGAAGACCCCTCAATCAACCTTTTCTCAGCTTTAGGATTTATCCATAAGTAAATTACATTTTTAAAAAATGTATTTAGGAATTATTGTACTAGGATTTTTTTAACATAACATTTCTGTTTTCCAAGAACATTGGATAGGATATTATGCATGTTTTATCATAATTTTTAAAAGAATAAAATAACAAAATGAAAACAATAATTACCTTTTTTAAGTCCTACTGAGTCTATGTCAAGTCTTGGAATTTCTTTTTGCAATGTTAAAGGCTATTGAAAATAATTTAAAAAATAGTAAATGGAAAAATTCTATTACATGGTTTTTTGGTACCTGTACATTAAATCTGTTGGTCTCACTGTTTATTTTTCATCTACTACAGTCACAATTTAAGGATTATTTGCTTGTTTTCTGTTATTGTACTCTAATCTTTACAATATGGATTAAAATATGAATAAAGAGCTATGTTAATTTAGAGGAAATTGGGTAAAAGGTAAGAAAAAGTATGGGTTGATTCATACGAAATTCAAAAATAATTTTAGAATGTTTTTTCTGTGAAGGAGATGGTGTGCAAGCATATACAGTACCTCACTAGCCAAGAAGTAGAAGATGATTACAAAAAGGAGGTGAACATATCAATGACAGAAATTTGAAAGAATTAGTTAGTTAGAAAAAAAGAGGGCAAAGAAAAACTCCACCAAAATACCAGAGGATTAATGAGGGTGGCGATTACAAATTGGAAATATGCTTGACAAAATATTTCAGATGTGAGTCCAAAAAAACCCAAGAGTTACAGTCTTTAGGAATATGGGAAGATAAAATAAGCACTAAATATAGGAAGGTTCTTATAATGTACAGAAATATTGGAAGCAGGTTCATCCTCAGGCCTGAAACAGAAGAGAAGTGGGTCCCACATACAAACCTGATTCTTTTCAAGCTGCAGAAAATATCTCCATTTTGACTTACAGTGACATAGTGGTTTAAGTAGCTGCCTTATTTGTTCCCTCACCTCCTTCCCTTGCTAATTACTCCAATTGGACTGATAATCTGGTAAATTATTCCATAGTTTTGTTTTAAATTTACAAAGTGCACTTTGAACTCATTAGAAAAGAAGTGCAAATTCTACTATGCCTCATAATATGATTTTAAAAGTTTCCGCCTCTTCAATCAAGGAGGATATTCCCAATAAATCCTCTAAAGAAGAGTTAGTCTTGCAAGTGAACTCACAAGATGAAATTGTTTGTATGGTTGAGATTCCTGATATTCAATTCAAAAAAACCCTCTGTATCTTCCAATACAATTTAATCTAGGACTGGGGCTTTTTCTAAGGAAGAACCCAGTCTCCAGCTGATGGATAAATTGCAATCAGTGTGTAATCTCATGGACACAATAACAAATTATGTTCTGAGATGGCTATTATTTGTAGAGATATTGGCACATTAGAGAAGAACATTACCACTTTGGATTGCAACATGAAATTATTATGAGATGATATGAAAACAGTGCAGGCACAATTTAACAACTTTCAAAGAGAGCTGGAGAATTTGAAAACAGTACTTGCTTGTTCCCCAGGCTGAAGGCTGGTGAATATACAATTCAAAAACAAGTACAGGTAGTTCTCGGGTTATGAAGGTGATTGAAACCGGGATTGCCATCGCTTAGCGATGCGGTCGTAAAGCACGACATCACATGACCACATCAGTTAGCGACACTTCTGGCAGTTCTGGTTCCCATCGTAACCCCAAGACACACCGGTCGTTAAGTAGGAATTGGTGGGAGTCCCAGGTAAGGAGCACAGGGGTGCTGTAAAGGGGATGCTTTGGGGGTTGAGGAGGCCCTGGGGGGCCTGACGCAGGATGTGCATGAGCGCAGGGAAGGTGGGAGAAGGAAGCTGCAGGTCAGCATGAGTGCAGGGAGACCAGGGGACCAAGGCTGTGGTGCCACACAAGCATAGGGAGACCGGGATGACTTATCAGGGCAATTTGCAACCTTCCATGCCAGCTTCCCCAATGACTTTGCTTGGGGCAAAGGGCAATCACATGACCATGGGGTGCTGCAACCGTTGTAAATGTGAGCCATTTGTCAAGTGCCCAAATCATGATCATGTGACCATGGGAGTGGTGTGATGGCCGGAACTTCAAGGACTGGTCATAAGTACCACTCGTTCAGTGCTGTCACAACTTCAAACTGAACAAGTGGTCAGTAAGCAAGGACTACCTGTAAAGGGCATAGATCTGCATAATAAAAACCTGATTTAAGTACAAGGGTATCTAAGTCATACTCATTTTATTTTTGTTTGCTGCCTAGAGTTCCTTCTGGTATATGGGCAGCCACATATGTTTAGTAAATAAATAAATGCATACATAAAGAATATTGATTTTGGGGGGAAATGTTCACAAGAGCTGCTTTCATTATTTTCAATTCTGATTTGGAAATTGATGATGCCTTTCACATAAGAACTAATGTGAAAATACCAAGAAGCACCACTCCTATTATTGTTATGTTTCAGAGAGTTGCAGTTTATGATACAGTTTAAGAAAGGCATCTCTTCCTTGACATTTAAACAGCACAGGCTTCAAATATTTCCTGGCATTCCACCTTGCAGAGATCTCTTTGAGGAAGGTATTCCCTGTGGCTCACACTTTGGTTAAAGAAAAATCAATTAATTTTTTTCTTGTTTCTTGCCATTTTTTCTCTCAATCTGAAACCAAATTAAGCAATTTACAGATTCTGATGCTCCTTTAGAATTTTTCACTGTGCAATAAGATAGCTTTCTGAGAGAAATGCAGACTCTTCATGAACAGTAGAAGATAGAGAACTGGTAGAAACCTGGAGAATCTCTGAATTAGTAAGTAACAAAGTAAGTGGTAAGGTAAAAGCCACAGAAACTGCAGCTGTTAGTAGTAAAGATAAAGGTGAAGACAGAGGTGCCACTGATTACACAGAATGTATCTTCAGCCAGGTCAATAGCATAGCAGGAAATTAAAGGATATGGCACAGTCACAATCATATGGGGGAAAGACTAGTATCGTGCATTCTCTGGTAGTGTTTTGGAGGATAATATCCTCAATCATAGGCTCCCTAAAGAACTTTCATTCTCAAAATGCTTAAGTTAATCCATGTTCCAGCAGTCTGCATAACTTCAGCAGTCTCCATATCTACCTTCTCTGCAAGATTAACAGAGTTTAGGGAAGTCTTGGATCCAGGGGAGCCAAGTTGTAATAGTATGTGGGAATGACCTTGGGAGACAGGAGGAACAGCCACAGACTAGACAACTGTCATGCAAAAGGTATCTCAGCCCACTGAAGGAAAACGGGCACGGGAAGTGTCTCAGAAGGTACCTTCCCTAGTTTTCAGGAAAGTAAAAGTAAGGAAGAGAAGAAATGCTTTCAAACTTGCAAGATTGATGTCAGCCCTTCAAGGTAGTCCAGACAAGAAATGTGAACCATGAGCACTACCACTACTTTTATTATAAGGTTACAGTAACATTATCTTGCAAGATGAGTATCAGCTGCAAACAGGAAGTCAGTGGCATGACCACAATCAAAATTCATTCCTAGAGAAATGTTTTTAAGAGGGACGAATCACTGTAAAAGGTGAAAGATTTATCTGAAGAGAAAGCAGAGTTTAAAAAGGAAGCCTTTGTGATGCACTAACAATGAGGCTAACTTTGCACAATATGACTAAGGCATATGAGACAAAGAGAATGCCTGCTGATTGCTGATAATTTTCCTCTTAATGAATGTTCTGAAGGGCACTTTTGATGTTATTGTCACAATAGCCACACAAGTAAGAAGCCTCATATACCATGTAAAAACAAGATGTATTTTAACCTAAGGTTTATGTGGAAAAATGTAGAATAAATTAGAAAAGTTGAGGTAATGTCCTCCATAAAGGAAAAATAATGGATCAAATGTTTACTGAGAAGACCAACCCAGACACTAATGGTAATTCAGGGAATTAGCAGAAACCACACTCAGACGTATGCATGCTAGCAGGGTGTATGTGTGTTTTATGCCAAAAAGGTCTTTATTACTCTAGAAAATTCTTACATGGGCTCTGCAGAGGCATCATTACTGATATGTGTGATACAGGGAAACCACAAAGAAGCAATAGTTGTATTTAGGGTTATACAAAGTAAGAAGCAACTTCTATTAATTGTAAAATACAAGAATTAATAATTACTTTGTTATGGTTATTAACAGACAAAGAACCAGTGTAGTATAGTGATAACGGTCCTGGACTAGGAGTGGGGAGACCCAGATTCTAGTCCTCCCTTAGGCAGAGAAGCCAGCTGGGTGACTTTGGACTAGCCACCTTCTCTCAGCTCTACACTGGAAAGTTGAAAAATATCTATCTATTGACCCACGCTGGACCAGTATGGTATATTACAATCCATAACCTTTAATGAAAAGGCCTTCACCTTGCAGTGGATTGATTGGGCTGGTAATAACTAACAATCCATTTCTTTTATAAATCAGATTACAGGTTAATAGCCCACAGCTATCAATAAATATAAACTAGTAAATTAAACTGATAAATATAAGCTAATGAGATCTTGTTTCAGTGTTTGCAAAGGAAACCTGACACAGAATGTGACAGAGCCCAGTCCTTTAATTTAGAAGAGGGACTGAAGAAATGGTGAGTGGGGGGAGGAAGTGGGAGAAAGAGAGAGTAAGAGAAATAAAGACTAGAAAATCTTGAGACACAATCTTTCTCTCTCTGGAAGCTTGATGTAGAATATTACATCTGAACAACGTTCAAAGGAATACACATGCTGCTTGCCTCCGTCTATGCTCTACTTGTATTATTGAAAAAAGGAGTTATTACAAAATTACCACAAGTGTCTAACACTCAATCTATTACTGCTGAAATATTCAACACAGTATTGATGTGTGCGCTTTCTGTGTATAGACTAATCTGAAATAATTTGTATAATTTCTAGTCTTTCATCAATGTTTTGCAACGTAAGATAATATTTGATGTTTCAGTAATACATGTAAAACCCCTACGTATGGAGACAATGAGAGTCATTGGTCCTTACAAGCTTAGATGTTGATGTCATGGCAACTGAAGGTCTTTTTTCCCCAAACTCTCCCATAATTACCTTAAATTCAGCTGAATCTTTCATTTTTAATTCTGGAATAACTGGTAAAGTTTTCTGTTCAGTGCTTGGCACATGTTCTTCCATAGTGAGTTGAGGAGATATGGTAATTTCTTTTCCCCTTCTTTTTGAGTCTGGTGGAAGCATTTCTACAGGTTTATCTAAAATTACAGGCAATATTTTTTCCTCATCTTTTGCAGAATCAGGCAACTGCTGCTTTTCTTGTATAGATGTGTCTTTCCCTGCGCTTTAAGTATAACAAACAGCAATTATTTCCTAGGAAAGATTATAAACAGCAGTCTTGAATTCCTTGAGTTCCCGAAGTTCTTACTCAGTTACAGAGGGCACAGTGGTCAGTAAGGACTTCTACAGCAGACACCTCATCACTTCTAAAGCCCAAACAGCTTCTGCCACCAAGGGTGGAAGTTGGTGGTGGTGGTAGCAGTGATAGGGAGATTTTTATTCTGACAGATTTTACCAATTTGAATGTCCCCAGTGAATGCAATGGCACAAAACAAAGTTTCCTCTGAGAGGACTGAAGCACTTTTGATTCAACAGAGCTGACTCAAACATCTATTCAGAACATTCCATTTGGGGTCCTTAAGTTTGTTACCACCAGTTTTGTTACTTTTTGCCTGTGAAGTTCTCAGTGGATGCAGGGGAGCATCCACAGCAGTACAATTTTACTCAGCTGCCAATACTCCTCTCAGGTACAAAAAGGCTTCTCCAAAAGATCACAGATCCCTCCAGCAATCAATAATGAGAAGAGGGATGAGATTGTTCATTAGGCCAAAGAGCATACTAAAATTCTTAAATTAATTTTCTGTAAGCCTTTTAAATGTATTTAACAAAATTATCTCAGATAATATTTCTGCAGACACATTTTTATTTTGTTATGAAATGGAAAAACAAAAACTTGCAGTGTTTTACTTGTCACTAATATGTAAAAAATAATATACTTTCTTCCTTTTTAAATGCTTAGTTGCATGCTTATTTTGTAAAAAAAAAAAACAGAGAAAAAAAAGAATTTAACTTGCTTATACACAAATACAGAAATATACCCCACAGATCCAAAGAAAAATAAAAAACCTTATTCTACAGTTAACAACAAAATCTGACTAGAATATAGTTATCTCTATTTATTCCTCTGCAGGCATAACGCTATTTATAGCATACATATCAAATTCTAACAATATTCACATTACACGTTGTTGTTGTT